CCTCTAGTAAATGATGAGAGAGAATCACTGATCAGCTACCACCTGCACACCCCATACTGGGGATCGAGCCTGCAACCCAGGCATGTGCCCTTGACTGGAATCAAACCCAAGACCCAAGGGTTGCATACCTTCTTTCTGATTGGTATTTTGGTGTGCTTAGGATATATTCATAGAAGGTCCCGGGAGCCCCGGGGCGTGCCTGGGTGCAGTGGCCTTGCATCCTGGGGCCGCAAAGGTCCCAGGAGCCCGCAGGCATGGTTTGGCGCAGTCGGCCTCGCCTCCCAGGGTGCTTGACACCTGCATATGCAAATTAACCCACCATCTTTATCAGCTTAATTTGAATACCCACTCCTGATTGTCTGGTGAGTGTACCAGAGGGATGGTCAATTTACATGTTTCTCTTTTCTTATATAGGATCATTCCAGTTTGTTCCTGGGAGTGTAGCATCCACTTCCTATGCCATCATTTTTAATCTCTGATCTATTCAGTTCTGCTTCTAAAATTTCCCCCCAGGTTTCAGCACCCATTGGGCACATGGTTGTTTCTGACAGGAGAGTAGACACATCTATGTTGCTGAATCTGCCACTTAGCCAAGAATGTTTTACTTGACTCTTCTTGTAATTCCTCTGTAGTATGTCCTGAAAGGTAAATCAGCATCATCATAGAAGGTAGTAGGTTGCTGCCTGGTGAGTTGAGTTTGTTTAAAACCAGAAAAGCCGATTGACAGGGCTGAATATAAGATTAAGTTTTTACATTGATATACACATATACTACTAAATTTGTGTGAGTGTGTGTGTGTGTGTGTGTGTGTGTATAGATATACATGTATATGTGTATATATACAGTGTGAACAATGAAGTTTGCTGGGGTTTTGGATAATGTGAAGTTAAAAGAAGTAGTCACTTTCCTTCTGGTTAACAGAGGAAAATGCCCAAATTTAAGATTGAAAAAACGTTGAAGGATGGATGGAAGAAAGTGTGCTTGCAGGAAAAGAATAACAATTCAACTTTAAGTTCAAAAGTCAACACACTCTGTATGTCATTCTCTATAGAAATCTTACCTCCTCCAAGCAGAAAGTAGAGTTTGGTTCACACCTACCACAATATCCTACCTAATATAGAGGGAATATGCTAATTGACCCTCACACTTTAGCAAAGATGGCGGTGCCCACAGGCAATAAGGAGGGAATATGCTAATTGACTGCCCTGCCCTCAAAGATGGTGGTGCCCACAGCCAATAAGGAGGGAATATGCTAATTGACTGCCCTGCCCTCAAAGATGGTGGTGCCCACAACCACAAGATGGTGGCACCCAGTCCCCTTATGCCCCAGCCGCCCAGGGCCATCCTGAGTCATAGGCAAGCCTCAGATGGTGGCTGCCCAGGGCCGCCGAGGCTCAGGTAACCAGGGCGGGCTGAGGCTTGCGCTGTTGCCAATGGCAGCAGTAGAGGTGTGATGGGTATTGCCTTCTCCTGATCCCCGGGTCGCCTCCCGCCCCTGAGGGCTCCCGGACTGTGAGAGGGGGTAGGCTGGGAGGAGGGGCCCCCCGCCTCCAGTGCATGAATTTTCATGTTCCGGACCTCTAGTTGTTAATAACACTGCAGACCATAAAAATTAAACTTACCCTCCAGGAATAACCGGTTTTTTGATCATCATCTACTTCTCGTTCGCACACAGCTTGTAGAGCCAAGCAATGAGGTTTCCATAATAAGTCATTGTTTCTTATTGTGTCATTCCAGCTCCTGCATGTCATTGAAGCCCTGCACAAACTCTGAATGTCCAGGTGACCGAAAATTTTTGAAGTAACTTCTTTAGGCAGCCTGTTAAAAAGGTTATTTTGATTCATTTTTCCCCCTCAGTATTCACAGAGTTCAATTCTATATCAGAAACTCTTGAATTATGGTCCTTTTGGAGTTATTCTGCTTAGCTTGATGTTTTAGGTAATCTTCACAGGTAACCTAAAAGGCAGAGTTTAAAGTTAGTCTCTTCAGATCAGACTATGGGTCCCACTTTGAGCCAGGTAACTTTTTTTTTTAAAATATATTTTATTGACCCTTCACAGAGAAGAAGGGAGAGGGATAGAGAGCCAGAAACATAGATGAGAGAGATTGATCAGCTGCCTCCTACACGCCCCCCAGTGTTGATGTGCTGGCAACCAAGGCACATGCCCCCGACCGGAACCGAACCTGAGACCCTTGAGTCCGCAGGCCGACGCTCTATCCACTGAGCCAAACCGGTTCGGCTACTTTCTAGGAATTATTTTAAAAACTTTAACTTTCTTGACTTGAGCTTTTCAATCTGTAAAATGGGGCCAATGATGCTCCTCACGTGTATGTTCTTGCTAGGATTAACAGGGATAACATATGAATCATCTAGCCTCACTTCTGAAGTGCACGTTGGAGACACTCAACAACTGTTACTTTTCTTCTTCTTTTTAATATTGTTAGTAAATGGGTTTCTTAGTAAACATCTGTCTTTCTGCTTGCTCTCAAAACACATGGTCTTAAAAAAAAGAAGCGATTCTTCACAGATTATGATTTATTGAGTTTAGTAGAAATGCCTATTGTGAGAACACATTCCAACTATTTATTGAAAGTACCTTTAAAAATATGTGGGATTCAATTCTATTAAGCTCCTGAATACTCACTGTCTGTGGGAACTGATGCCTTGTCATTAAAGTCTTCACCTACAATTTGCAACTTCATCATAAACCTGATGGACATTTATAGTTTATACTAGAGGCCCGGTGCACAAAAATTTGTGCACTCGGAGGGGAGAGGGGGGCCGTCAGCCCGGCCTGTGCAGTCTCGCAGTCTGGGACCCCTCAGGAGATAATGACCTGCTGGGTTAGGCCTGCTCCTGGGTGGCAGAGGGCAGGCCCAATCCCTAGGTCCAGCCCTGGGTCGGGCTCAGAGCAGGGCCGATTGGGGAGTGGGGGCGCTGCCCCCAGTCATGCACAGAGCATGGCCCATCAGGGGGGTTCGGGCTCCATACCCTGTCACGCACAGAGCAGGGCCGATCAGGGGGTTGAGGAGCTCCCCCTTGTCACGCACAGAGCAGGGCCCATCACGGGGTTGGGGAGCACCCCCTGTCATGCACAGAGCAGGGCCAATCAGGGGGTTGAGGAGCTCCCCCCTGTCACTCACAGAGTAGGGCCAATAGGGGAGTTGGGGCACCATCCCCTGTCACACACAGAGCAGGGCGGATCAGGGAGTTGGGGCGCCGCCCTGTATCACCCATAGAGCAGGGCCGATCAGGGGGTTGGGGCGCCGCCACTGTCACACACAGGGCAGGGCCGATGGGGAGGTTATGGCTGTATCCCGTCACACACAGAGCAGGGCCCGTGGGGGGAGGTTGCAGCTCCACCCCATCACACACACAGCAGGGCCAATCAGGGGGTTGGGGCGCCGCCCCCTGTCACACACAGAGCTGCAGGGCGATCAGGGTGTTTGGGTGCTGCCCCCTGGCACGCTGATCCCGGTGGAGGGAGGCCTCGCAGCTCTGCTGATCCCGGTGCTGGGAGGCATGTTACCCTTTTACTATATAGGATAGAGGCCTGGTGCAGAGGTGGGGGCCGGCTGGTTTGCCCTGAAGGGTGTCCTGGATCAGGGTGGGGGTCCCCACTGTGGTGCCTGGCCAGCCTGGATGAGGGGATGATGGCTGTTTGCAGCTGGTCACACACCATTCAGGGTGGGGGTTCCCCCTGGGGTGCCTGGCCAGTCTGGGTGAGGGGCTGAGGGCTGT